ATGAGTTAAATGTTTCATAATAAATATTGAGTGGCATTTATTTCCTATATCCTGTAAATTACCAGTTATCTATACTCTATCAAACATAATAGTCTATTATTGTTTTTTGGTATTATATGTTTTTACAAATATATTCTATTACTTAGTCAAAGCACAAGGAGACCTAGAAATAACATTTGTAAATTCCTGTCATTTGGTGTATATATATATCATAATATGTTTTGTAATATTATATTATCATATTACTGTATTCTCTTTATAACCCCTCTCTCAAGAGCCACCCTAGTAGAAAAAAGGACTCTTTTAAGAATAGGAAAACAATATGGCAGGGGTTGGAATGGGATGAAATAAAAAGGAGATAAATCTCCATCCACTGCTGAGAGCATTCTATACAATCTCACGGAGTCTGACTCTGTTTCCCCAGAAGAATAAAAGCAGGATCAAATCTATGCAATTATCACTTGAAATGCACTTCTTCCTATTTCACTTTCTTTTTTCACTATAACTGTAAGCTCTGTGAAACTTGGGTTTGATATTTTCCTGTTATTTCCTTCTGCTTGTAGGTGCCACCATTCTTACTAATGTAATAAAAATAAGAAAATAAACACCCCACAAATGAACCTTCCCCCATTGCTGTATCTCCATGCTAGCATACATTTCCCTTGTGCAAGTGCGATCTTCCATGAAGCAATGAAAGATACAAGATTCCTAACCAAAAACAACAACAATGGGTAACTTTGTCATGGTCATCTACAGGTAATCCTTGACTTATAGTGGACCATTTAGTGACTGTTCAAAGTTACAAAGGCACCAAAACAATGGACTTATGGCCATTTTTCACACTCATGACTGTTACAGCATCCCCATGGTCACATGATCAAAATTCAGCTGCTTGGCAACTGACTCATATTTATGACAGTTGCTGTGTCTCAGCTTTCTCCTTTTGCGACATTCTGACAAGTAAAAGTCAATGAGGAAGCCAGATTCACTTAACCATGTTACTCACTTAACTGCAATGATTCACTTAACTGTGTCAAAATGGGGCAAAATTCACTTAACAAACGTCCCGTTGAGCAAAAGAAATGGACTCAACTGCACTCGTAAGTCGAGAACTACCTGTACTCCTTAACAGTGCTCCGGGAATCATCATTTACATCTGGGAGTATTTGGATTTATGAAAGAAAAAGGCAAGTCTTCCGGAATCTGGGAGTCTCTCCTTCAGCAACTGGTTTAATCCAACTGTTAGATTACTAAAGAACAGAAATGATTTCCTACCTTTCCACAAAAGTAGAAAGAAGACAAACTAGCACACCATCTGCCCATTGATCAATATGTTTGACACTCAATTGAATCCCCAATCTGACAAAAGATTTTAGAGCTATTTACATTGGAGCCTGGCCTTGAGTGTGCACGTTTCATGTGAGCTATACTTCAAACAGATATTTATGCTACGTAAATTTCATACCTATAGGCAAACTACAGAGATATTAATTAAAAAGGAGAAGTCGCTGGGGGAAGACAAACGGAAGCCAGCCCATCCTAAAAAATATTAAGCAACTAGCTACAGATGCTCGTTTTCCAATACAAGGCAGATTACATACAGCTCCATGCATGGCTTGAGTTTGTGGCTTCGTGTGGACCCAAACTCATGTGGCATTAATTTGCTCCAGCTTTTTACAGTGAATTCTATTTAAAGATGGTTGCTGAGGAGGGGGTGGGTGGGTTGGTGGGTCTCAGATAGGATGCTGAACAAAGGAGATTTCGGTCCGGCTCCGCAAGGCGTTGGCAGCACCCAAAAATAAAATAAAATAAGTTATTATTCATCGGTGAAGCAGCAGCGCGGACAGGTATCTCCTTGGTTAAACCGCAATCCGCGGGGACTGCAGGTGAAAAAGGAAAGATGAAAGCCGAGAGCAGCCCAGCCCTGCAGTCTCAGGTTTACCGACCCATCATCACCCGAGGGAGTTCACGCCCAGCCTTCCTGCCGGGAAGAAGAGCCGCGGCCAAGGAAGCACGCCTCCTACCCCCCCCCCCCCCCCCCTACGGGGATCAGCCCCAGCACCCTACACCCCGGCCCGCCTTGAGGCCCCTCCTCGAGAGACACCTTGTAAGCACCGAAGTTGCTCTCGGGGTCGTTCAGCGGGACCCGCCGCTCGTCCACGAAAGCCAGGAGCCACCGAGCAGGGCAGGCAGCGGCCGCGGGCAGCTCCTGAGCCAAGATCCGCACTAGGCTTCCACCTGACAGGCCCAGGGAGAAGCGCCCACCCGGTCCGGATTGAGCTTCCCGCTGCGCTACTAGCTGGGCCAGCGCCGAACCCAGCTCCTGCGGCGAAGGGAAGACCGAGATTTGGGGAGCCGGAGACGCTGCAGCGGCCGGACCGCGCCGTGGCACCGAGGAGCCGGGCATGGCGAGTGAGGTGAGGCAGCAGCTGAAAGGAGGAACGAAAAAACCCGGCAGCGAAGCCGAGAGGGACCCATGGTGAGAAGGCGAGCAAGGCCGGGCGGAAGTGGCCGCGGTCGTCGATGGCACGCGGGCGGAAACCTTAGTAGAAGGAGGGTTTTAGAGGGGGAAAAAAGCGGCGGAAACATATGCAAGAAGCTACCGGAAGCCTGTGAAGCCGGCACTCTCCCCCCCTATATTTATTGGCAGACGGAATTTTTACGTACCGCTGAGAATACGACGCTAGAATTTACTCCGGACCAAAATATTTTCTTATGGCTGCATTGCGAAATGAAATAGTGGACTAAATAAAGCTGAGGCCATATTGGAGTTCCTTTGAATTTTCTTCATTAGAGGTCTAATACGGGGCGGGAAATCAAGAATGAAAGGCAAAGACGGTAAGAAAGGAGGATTTATTTCTTAAGGTTTGTAAGACTCTCTCTCTTGGCTTTCCTGACAGCTTTGTCAGGAATAGGGTTGAATAGGGTTGAGAGGTAGCCCCAAAATGGGCCTAAACCCAGATGAATCCGTCTTTACTGGCCAAAACCTTAACACTGCATCAGAATGAATGTCTTGGAATTGCTAGGAGGGTTTTCTTCTTTGAAATTAATAATTTTCAGATCTTTGATTAAATATAATAGAGAACCCAGCATTTCCCAACTATTGCCATTTTGGGCACCAGCTATTCAAAACCAAAATTTTAGGAAGGTTGTACTGTGAAGGAGCCAGCTGATCATATGAGGTTGTCTTGTGATAGATAGCTTTTAACTCAAGAAACTTAGTTATTAAAGCCCTTTCACTAGGAATAATTTATCATGACAAGAAACAGGCTATGATTTTGAAGGCTCTAGTAGAACTTTATCTTCTGAAATTTAGATTTAAGCCTATTGTGTTGTTAAATCTTAGCTTCTGTCATCATCACTTTATGATTGAGGATATTGGTGAAATCCAGGGTTGAGTAAACGACAGTTTACTTAATCATTGGTCAATGGGCAGTGTATATAGCTTGTGTTTGAAACAACAGTTTCACAATAATAGCCACATCAGGCAGCATGGAAAATTCAGGGTGACTGATGCAAAGTTGACATTTAAGTAGAAGCATACACTTCCTAAGCAAGTAAAATCAGTATACTGCTAGATCATACTGAGGTGAAATGCAGATTACCTATGGTGTTTTGTTAACAAACTTCAGCGATTAGATATTGCTATATTACTCAGACTGAATAGGAAACTTCTGTAAATGCCTTGGGAATAAAAAGAGAAAAGAAAAAAAACTGTCCCTAAGCAAGGCAAGTACAATTTAAAGAAACACTATGTTGAGAAGGATTGGGAAAGAAGACTTTTAAAATTATAGTTCAAAGGTTTTATAAGTTTCAAGTTGCACAGAATCCTATAAACTCTGAAGCGGACTAGTAATTCTCTGTTCTTATGGCTCCCAGAACCCCTTTTGGCTAGGACTGAAAATTTTTAAGTGTGGTTGTGTCTACTGAAATGCTGCCTTCCTTGATGTACTAAACAAGCTTTTTCAGTCTCTTCACCCAGTCATCTTGTTACCAATTTCAAACAGCTCTCCCAGCTAGGTTTATATGGATATGCCTTTGCTCTTAAGATAAGCATGGGGAGGAAGGATTTATGTCTCTAAGTGTGATAAATTAATTGTGTTCCATTAAAGCAATGTTAGAACCAGACTAACAAACTGAGATAAGTGGAACTTGTGGCTTAGAAAAATGCAACATCATTTCAATAAAATCAGTTTCTTGAGGGAAGTCTAGAATAGACATGAATCCTTATTGGGCAAAAAGACTATTTAGAACAGTGGTCCCCAACCTTTTTTATGCCGCGGCCCGGTACCGGCATCAGCTGGGTGCCGCCATCTTGTTTTGATGAAAAAGTGCTTCCGGTGAGCTTTCTAAAAAAGCTCACCGGAAGCACTTTTTCATCAAAACAAGATGGCGGCGCCCAGCAAACCAGCGGCCCGGTAGGATTTGTTCCACGGACCGGTACCAGTCCGCGGACCGGTGGTTGGGGACCCCTGATATAGAACATTCAGTTTGACAGAAGAATGACATGTTTGCAAAGGTACAGCTTACGTTACACTCATGTCTATTTTTATTTGGAAGCAAAGCTTGTTGATTCCAAGACAGCTTACTCCCAAGAACCAGGGGCTATTTAGCTGCCAACCAAAAGCTTCTGAAATAGATGTGAAGTCTGACTCCAAAGCTGTGATGGTTGCTTTGCGTCAATTCATTGTGCAAGTTATAATTCTTGGAACAAAAGATTAACTTGGAGATGGATATCTTGCCCTTGGAATGCAACAAGGATTGGGCTGGCAAGAATATGGAATTATTGCCCATCCCTGTATTAATGACCTACTGTATAGCTTGAGGTAAATCCTTTAGTAAAATTATATCTTTATGCAAATTAGGGAGGCATAAGAGCTATACTGAGTGGTGACTTTTTTGCTTGGCCAGGTTAATAAAACTGGGAGAACAGACACTGGAAAATAAAACGACAAACACACTGAACATTTTCATTAACAGAGTAGGTATACACATAACTCAGTTTTTTAAAGTTCTTTATTCTTATAAGGTTTTTCTCAAGTCAATGTTATATTTTGGCAAAAGTGACTCCAATAACAAAATGTAACATTGCTTCAAAAAATTCAGTTAGACAATGCATGATTCTTAAAATCAGGAGCAAAGTTAGATTTTGTTTGCTTTTTTAAACAAACCTTTTTCTCCAAATCAAATTCAGTTAGCTGTAGGTATGTTTGTTTATGCAAGAACTAATACAACTTATATTCATAACAGAATTGTTAACTTGTTTTAACTTGTTCTGAAGAAAAGTTGGAAAAGGCACATTCTGGGTCTTATCATTAAAAAAAGGAAACAGTTGACTCCCATGGCTTCTGAATTGTTATTTATCAATTGCCTGGCTAATACAATACTTGGTGTACTCAGAAATACAAAATAACATTATTCTATATATGTCTTTGTAAAATACTCATATGAAATTCCATTTTTGCCAGATAAAAATTTCCTCAAGGAAAATTAATTTGATCTTAAGTGATTCAGGGTACCTGAAACATTTCGTCCACAATCATATTGCAGGCCAGTAGTATGTACATTGGTAACAGAATATTTCCATATCACTGTATCCCAAGAATTACAGCTTCTTTGAACAGACAGGCAGTCAATCAAAATTCAAGCAGTCCATTTGTATCGTCTTTTGTTTAAATTCTTAATGCCATCTACCCAAATGGCACTAATGAAAAGAAGCAAAGTTAGGAATGTCCACATCAGATATTGCTGGAAGATCAGTGTGAGTAATGTGTTGCAAATGGTCTTTGATGAGCTGACAGGCTTCCTATGTTGGTCACAAGAAATTAGCAAGACTGAACAGCATCAGACATCCACTTGTTTCAGGGCTTAATGGAAGTGTTTTTTCAAGATTCTGGAGCAGTCAAATAATTGTTTGAAATATCCCATTCCCCCAAATGAATGTTTGTTTTAAATAAGATGATTTAAAGTAGATTAACAGAACATATATCAGTTATTTTCCCACATGGGTGTAGTATGTAACAGCCAATTGATTTGCTGTGGGTAAGTGGAATTTGAAGTACGCAATACCTTTCTGCTAAAAGAGCATTAAAATAACTTTTCAAGCAGAGTTTCCGAACCAACTTATTTTCAATATACTGTACGTATATATCGTTTTAAAATAATACTGTTATTTAATCTTATTAGTCCTGTTTCTGGATTTTCTATTCAATATCAAGTTTCTACACATAAACTGTTGCATTTTGACAGTCAGATCTTTAAAGCTACAAATAAAGCTACAAAGAAACAATTGGAGGAACTTTAAATCTGTATGTTTGGAACCTGGAAAATCTAAAGCAACTGAAGGCTTTATCCTAAATAATTATTTTCTGCTTTAACACAATGAAATATAGCCAAATAACACAGAAGAAAATAATTTGATCAGTTTTGCTACAATGGGTTTAGTCATCCCTGAAATACTCAGGACACTGAACATGTAATAATGCAGATCAGAAACCATTTCCCTTTTCATAAGGAATTCCCTATCACAATGGTTATAAGGAAGAAAAGGCCTTTCTAAAAACTGAACAATACAAAAAGAGCTATTCTCTGTGCTCTAGAAATGGTTAATGTGCTTTTTAAAAAAGGGGGGGGGGAGGAAACCATCTTGCTCTCGCACCATAGTGGAGTTTTTCCCTGTTGCATATTAAAACCTTGCACTGCTTATTTATTCAAGTCTATTTCTCTACCAAAACAAGACCTTTCGATATCAGGCCTTTTAGGAGTCATCTCACCAATTCAATCAAAGAGAAATTTTTCCAGTTTGGATCCTCTCAAAAATGCACTCATCTATTGGTAGGTACTTGCCAACTTTTACATCCAAAAAGTATAACCGATCTGACATCTGGTGTGGATTGTAGCCTTCCCTTTGTAAACGTGTCTTCTGAATCTTAAAAGTGCCTATTGGGGAAAAAGAAAGAAGATAGAAACATATTATTGGCAATTACATGCAAAAGGAAAGCAAAGGGGTCTAGGACAACTCGCCATAGCCAACTCGCTATGGGACAATTCAATGCTATAATAATTGTTTCATTCAGTTACTTTTTATTATTGGTGACATTTTTGTTGAAGTTATTGTAACTCTTGTATTTCTGGGTTGACTTTTTTATCATTATGATTGGCCAGAGTTCCATTGAAATTAATTGAACTTTTGAATTTGTTGAATTGTCCTGTGGTGAGGTGGCCGTGGCGAGTTGGCTGTGGCATGTTGTCCCATTCCAAAGCAAGGAGTAGCACTTAATTCAAAGACAGTGATCAGACTGAAGATGTTTTATTTGGAAAACAGGGCAATATGTTATAGCAATAGCACTTAGACTTGTGTACTCTCCATAATACTTTACAGCACTCTCAGTTGTTTACAAAGTCAGCATATTTCCCCCAATAATCTGAGTCCTCATTTTATAGATCTTGGAAGAATGGAAAGATGAGTCAACCCTGAGCCCCATCAGGATTGAACGCCAGGCTCTAGGCAGAATTACCCTGCAATACTGCATTCTAACCACTGTGCTACAAGGGCTCCTTATCAAAACATATTGTTTTAAATTCTACTCACAACTCAAAACTGAACAAAATTCAGAGGAAGAAGAAATAAGAATGATTACCTCCTGAGAAAGATTTTTCTCCTGCTAAGAAGAGGGATAAAAAAGAAGGATTGGGGAAAGGAAATGAACATCTCTAAGGCAAAATGCAGTGTTTTAGTCATTTTGCCACCACAGGACAACTGAAAAGCACTGGTTTGGACTGTGGAACAGGCACATAACCAATCTTACAAAGAAGCTGGAGTGTATTTGGTTGGAGAAATCCATCTCATACATACAAGTGTGTCATGTTTTTAACCTTTATATACAAAATAAAATAATGACTGCTTATATAGTTACTTTAGATCAGTTATTTTAGCAAAGAAAGAAAGGGAATGTTTGTTTAGACTTCACAAAGTATTTGTTAGAAACTGGAGGATAACTTAAAACTCACTGGTGAACCTCCTCTTCTAAGGGATTCCCAGTAAAAGAACTATGGAATGCTGCTATCAAACAGTGAACTTCCTCTCATTCCCTTGTTTGTGTAGCTGAGGAGTCTTTTGCCCGCCTACCTTCATCCCAGCTCTCCAAAAATAGAAAGTGCTTTGAAACTTCTCGTCCAAACCCATAACAACAAACCTAATGCCAATTCACAAGAGGTGACTATGTAATTGCATGATCTTTCATGTGGACACTCCTTTACAATTCCTTTAAAAAAAAAAACCACATGTCTGAGTTTACTAAGAAAAGGGAATATGGGAAAGTGACATTCACATACAGACAGAACAGCTAAACTGCTCTTGAACTACACATGCTTCATATTCCCTGCAGATCAGATAATCTGGACCTTCTATCTTAATGTTATTTGGCGGGCCCTCTTTTTTCCCCTTCATATGTCTAGAATACAATTTTCAGTTTAAATTAAAAGAATATGGAAAATAATTAAAAGACAACCTGTTTGTGGAGTCCAATCAAGGACATACTCTGATATCACCAGACCATCTAGTAAAGTACTAAATTATCTAGTTCTGAATACACATTTCTGACTTCCTTCAAGGTTTATTTCAAAGACCCGTACACAGCAAAACAATGTTTAGAAGTAAAACAGAAAGGTTGGACATAAAGCACGTGTTAAGAAGATAGCTATAGTGGTAATAATAGACTAATAATAGATCCCACCTCCCCACCTCTCTCATCTTTTAATTATAATTTTGTATTTTTATGATTTTATCACTTTTAAACCACCGAGAATCTACCTTGTGGTGACATAGACAATAAATAAATTTAATAAAAATAAATTATCTTTTTTGCGTCTTATTATATATCCCATCTTGGTCCTTTAGTTTAAACTTAAGCATCTTTGTGTTACCTGTGGTATCAACCTCTGGCAGAAATCGGAGGAAGATAGGCCGTGCATATGGAGGTAATGCTTTCTGTATCTCCAAAAATAGAACGTTAGGATTCAGTTTTGCTTCTGGGTCAGCAATAGCTGCCATTCCAGCCTTGCCTTCCACTCCTAAAATTTAAAAAGGAAATAAACAAAATTTTATTATGGTCATAGACCAGCATAAAGCAAAATCATAAAGACTGCCAATTCTGATATGTACATTTGCACAAAGAAGCCATTGGCAGCCAACTAATTCACAGCTGCAGATCCAATCCAGATGTGCATCACAGCTCCACAGCAAACCACATCCTAGCTGCAGAGAATAAGCACTGGGGGGGGGCGGGCTTCCTTTTCTCCTTTTCTAAATAACTCTCTTCCATTTGTCAGTGGACCTGTGACTGCAACAGGAAGTGTAGCATTTGGCTAACACCACCCAGCTAATACCAGCCACCATTGCAGCAAACATATCTCAAATGATTTCAATAGGCTGCAAATATTTATCACAACTTGTTTCTTCACCCTCTTTTTCCTACCTGGCTTCCTTTTTGTATTCTCTTACCTAAGTTTTTAGTTGGCAAACCAACACAGAAGATCCTGGGTCTTCCATTTGTGCATGGTACCTGTTCGCCATTAGCACAGTGTATTAATATTTAATTTATATGAGCGAAACTTAGTGGCTAGAAAGTAGAATAAATGTATTATACCTCAGCCAATTACATCAAATAACTCACCTAAGCTGTTCCCTGTCATACATTCTCCATGTGGAAGGCTGAAGCAGCTTTGCAAACCAAAACAAAGAAATCCCCTATGTTGCTTTTTGCTCTAAGACCAAAAGTAGTAACTATTTGTTCAAACAAGCGATCTAACACACACAATAATGCTTCTGAAGGAGCAACAGATGCTGGTGACGCAGCAAAGTAAACCACCTTGCTTTTAAACAGAAGAAGAGCTTCAACTTCTCATTCTACTAACGGTCATTTTTGCCCGTTTTACATCTGGTCCGATAGCTGCTTCTGCTCAAGTCTCAGAATGAATACCAAATAACTGGAGTTTCTGCAATATATCTTTTGTTATAACAGTTTGCACCCTTGTCTCTCTATTACTCTATGGCTACTGCTCAAGAGATTTTTTTTTCCAGCCCTAGTATCAATATAAATGAATGCTTTTTCAGGTGTTATTATAGGTGTATGTTTCGAGCTGCCTTTCTCTTGTTTCTTATTATTATATCTCCTATCTCCAAACCGAACAGTATCAACTAATTTTGAACTTGGCAGACCTGCTTGCTGACTCCTGAGCTTCTAAATTCTAAATTACCTGGTACCTCTACTCCATAAACTGCCACATCTGTCTTGCTGAGAATATGGCTGAGGATTCCTTCCACTTCGGTGGTGGAAACATTCTCCCCACGCCAACGGAATGTATCCCCACTGCGGTCTTTGAAGTACATATAGCCAAGATCATCCATCACTAGGACATCACCTGCAGGAGAATAGGATGTCAGTATGTATCAAGAAGACTGTGCTTCTACCAAAATGTTATCTCCCAGCTGGGAGTTCAACAAATGAGGGTAGAGATGAAGTTTTCTCTGTCCAGTTGTGTCCAAGTCTAGGGCATGGTGCTCATCTCCATCTTTTGCCTCAAGGAGCTAGCATTGTCCAAGACATTTTCCGTGGTCATGTGGTCAGCATGGCTATACCCCAAAGGCACAAGGAACACGAAGTGATACCTATTCATCTAGTAATTTGCATGCTTTCGAACTGCTAGGTAGGCAGGAGCTGGAGCAAGAACGGGAGTTCACCCTGTTGTGCGGCACTTGGGTCTTGAACCCAGGCTGTCAGCTTTCCAGTTGAAAAGCTCAACATCTTTAACCACTGAGCCATCATGCCCCCTCCAACAAATGAGGGCTAGAATACAATAAACATATTGTTTCCCAATTACAGATGGATCAAGAACAAACATGCAAAAATGGTTCGGTAAATGGGAGAGATAGATCATCCATATTATACATAAACTCTCTCTCAGGAATGATGGACAGAACCAAGCCAAGAAACTCCTTGTAGAAGAACAACCTCCATCCATACTGGAAAGTAATTCTATTCATCCCCAAACAGAGCCAAAACAGTAATGTTGATAATTAAGCTTAGGCAATAAAAGTGTTTTATTTGTACTGTATTGTGCTTTTAAGCCATTGTCAACAGTTTTTAAATTAAGTGAAAAAACAACATTGGGAGCATGTCATATATTTACAAAATACAGCTTCCCTGAATCATGTATAAGAAGCAACAACGTTGAATTCATCATAGGATTGATTTTATTCGAGATATTTGTTGCTAAATACTACTACAGGTCTGTGCTAACAAAGAATTTCAAATATTTGAATATGTCCTTAGTTTCTGAGGACTTAGATTACTATATAATTTTGTAATTTTGACTGTAATATATGAATATATACAAAATTACAAATTTATCCTTCTAGGACATGAAGGCAAGACATTGGCATGAAGAATACCTGAAAGATAGGCTTGATCTCCTTTCTGGAAGACATTATAAGCTATTTTCTTATTAGTTGCATTCTGATTGACATAGCCATCAAATCTCCGCAAAGGGTCTTCTTGGTTTATCCTGCCTACAAGAAGTCCAGGTTCTCCTAAATAAAGGAAGAATTCCAGGGGGGAAAAATTAACATATGTGTTTATAGCAGTTTTGGATACCTGGATGGATTTTTTATGCATGCTATTAGTTTTGGCACAAGATTGCAACAAAAATTGAAACACAAACATTGTAATTTACTACTTTTCATCTAGCAGATCTATAACTGATCCGATTCTTACTGAATATTCATTTCATTTAAATGTTGTCTCTTACTATCCTAACAGATCTTTAAGTCTTCTGCAGCAATACTCTAGCTGAAAATTGGAGGACTGAAATAAATGCTGAATTTTTTAAAGTGCATACTCAATATAAAATATTATTTGATTCCATTATAAAATGGGAATTTTTAAAAGAATTATGTATTTGTATTTTCAAACCTAAAAATATACTTCTAAATGTGTTTTGCCCTAAAATATTCTCTTGTAATGGTTGCTTTTTGAGCCCTTCCCCTGCACCCCTCCAAAAAAAAAAGAACTAAAAAGAAAGTTATATTCTGAACATCATAGAAATTCAAATCAAGACCATCTGCTTCAAATGCAGCCCAAAATAAATTAATGAGTATCTGTAAACTAAGGTACAGACGACATATATAATCTGTAATTAACTAGTTTGCTACAGATGTATAGCTGGCTAAATATCATAACTTATTCTTTAGTATTTTTCTTAATTTAGTTTACACTTTTCTACATGATACAGTATTTCCTATGTCTACACAGCCTGTCTTCTTTAGGCCACTCTTATATATGTTCTTTTTGGTTCATCTTTTTTTTCAAATATCAGTGATTAACACTGTTGTTTCACAAGGTTCCATGTCATTTGCCTTACTTTGCTTAGGTATTTGCTTACCTACAGTACTTATGTGCCACCTTCCAACTATTCCAGTTGTGGAGATAGTGTTAAAACATGATTAAATATTATTCATGGTGAACGGGCAAGGCTTGTAATCTTGAACAATGCTTCATATCTCTTCTCTTTAAAATGGCATCCACAGATAGTCCTTGCTTAACAACCATTCATTACAACTGTTATGTGATCACGATCTGGGAGTTTGGTGACTGGCTTGCAATAACAATATTGCAGGGCCTGTGGTCACATACACTAATTGCCATTCGCAACCTTCACTGCTGGTCTCTGCCAAGCAAAGTCAATGGGGAAGCCAGCAGGAGGTTGCAAACAGTGATCATGTGATGGCATGCTTAACAATTGTGTGGAACTTGCTTAATGATAGCAACCATGCAGGAACTGCCATCATAAGTGATGTGGTAATGTGCCATCATACTTTACCACATCACTTGATGAGAGACATTCCAGTGCCAATTACTATTGTTAAGTACTACTTGTATTTGCCTAGGAAGCAGGCCAAAAAGTAGCCTCTCCAGTCCTGTAAATTCTCCTTGCCCTTGATTAATTTGGGCACAATCATTAATAATTAACAATATCCAGATCAGCTATATTCCTGGAGAATTGACGTTGTGTAGGAACCTCTATTCTCCAAGTTACAATTAAGGCATAAAGCATTGTCAGATTTATTTACCGGGCTGACAGGAGATACATAATCCATTTGTGCCGCGTATTAGCTCCATGGTATTCTCATTAACTTTCACCAAGCGGATAGGATATACATTTGGCAAAATCCGGCTATGGAAGCCACAGGCTCCCACCTGTCAAGAGTAAAAAATATTAAAAGCAAAGAAGGCCTCCAAATGCTGCATATATTTCTCTAAGGAGGTTATTATTTGCTAGGAAAATACTCTGTGAATTTCAAGCTCTACAGAATAGTGAGATGTCACTTGAGGGGAGCAAGTAAACAAGAACAATTGAGACTGGCCTGCCCCACTTGTACTGGCAGAAGGGGCATTCTGCAGACCCCATCGATCAAGGAATTCCGGCTGGCGGTGTCCAGGAAAAGGAACTTTTCTGCCATGGTTCCTACCTTCTGGAATATCATGCCCCTTAATGTGAGATCTGTTCCTACCCTCTTGGCCTTCTGTAAGAACCTCAAAACCTGACTCTGCCAATTGGCCTGGGGCCCTGAAGCAAGAGCTTGAAGACCAGGGCATTATATTATCATGATGGCCTCAACTGCAAATACAATCTAAATACAATTTAGATATGAAAAAGTATGGCTTTTATAAAAGACAAATACTATTTGATCAGACACTTTTGAACTCTGGTGAAAAACTAATTAAGAAGGTATATAACTTTTTACTAAATTTGAAAATGGGAAACAAATAAAAGACACAATGGTACAATGGGGAAAAAAACTTTGGCTATAACATAGAACTATATAAATGGCAAACTTTATGGGAAAGGAACTAAAAATTAACAATGGCAACCTCTTATAAAGAAAACGTATATGTTTTATAGATAGCATTTACCACCTGCTAGGTTAGCTAAAATGTTTAAAAATCTGTCTAGCAAATGTTGGGAATGTAACCAAAAAATGGGCACATTTTATCATATGTGATAAACTTGTGTTAAAGCAAAAAAAATTTGAGCAAAGATACACAGGTGGCTAGAAAAGATAGGGAAACATGTATTTTTTAAACTTGAACTGTTTTTATTAGGTATAATATCAGAAAAACTAGATAAGTATATATTTAACATTACATGTCGTAACAGCAGTGAGGACTATATTTGCACAATATTGGAAAAAATGAAGAAACACTGCAAGATGAAGATATAATTAAGATACTAGACTGTGCAGAAATGGATAGATTTGACATTGAAAATTAAACAAGACACAGAATACTATCAAACATGGAAACTATTTTATCAGTGGTTGAAAAAAAGGGATGGAGATTAAGAATGTAATCAGTACTGTTAAGCAAACTGAATACCCAGACAACACGATGCTTATTAAACATTAAGAAATGTAATTAATAGAAAATTTTAAAAAATATTTTTTAAAAAAGCAAAATAGATAAAACGGACCAATCAATGCGTAAACAGGGTGGGAGTGGAATCTTCATCTAATCTACTAGTCACCTCCAGAATGGCATGCCCACATTGGTGCCCCAAATTAACCTGCTCAGGCTCTTGGCAATTTGTATTTAAAATCCAGAAATGGGATGTAAATTTGAAGGAGAATAAAAGTTTGTTCCTCCTTGTATTATATAGGGATTTTGGAAAAGGCAAAAAAGAACACTTTGCTTTTCATTTTCTGTGTATCAATAAAACATGTAAGCTAAAGTTTCTAGTGGTACAGAGCACAACAGAGGAAAGACTTGAGGTCTGGCATGAGAAAAAAAAGGTCTCCATGGTTCCTAGACTTCTAATCAGGAACATTCCTCTTAAGGGATAGAATACATGGCAACAATGTTACTGCAACCCCAGTTTTTGCAATCTGTAAATTAAACAAATACTGATAAAAGCCCACAGCGTTAAAGAGAGAGAATGCTATTAGCCCTGAACTGGCAACAAGCAGTACAGGGTAGTAACTGAACTTGCTGAGAGTCAACTAATTGTTGTCATATCTACAAAAATAGTGAAGAGATTTTCCTACTAATCCAATCACTTCTTCAGTGACTTTAAAAGCCCAGCTGTCTTCCTTCATACAGTCACAGCACTGTAGATCTGATATCCAGCCAAGAGGTTTTAAAGGGCACACTCCTTCATTGTAGATAGCAAAATATGGTACATTCCCAGGAAGCAAAAGTGAAGCTGAGAATGCTACAGATTTTGCAAACATTTGCCCCATCCATATATGAAGAGCTTGGTCAAAAACAGAAACAAAAAAACCCCCAAAGTCTCCAAAGTATAGAAAGACAACTTCTCAATTTACCTTTCCATCTAGATTAGCAATGCTACAGTTACACTCAGTAGCTCCATAGAACTCCCCAATCTGTTTGATTCGGAATCGCTGTGTGAAGTCTTCCCAAATGGTGGGCCTCAAGCCATTTCCAATAGCTAGCCACACCTGGTGCTGCATTTCTGCCTCCCGCTTTGGTTGGTTCAGCAGGTATCTGCAAATCTCCCCAATATATTGGATGATCTTTGAAAAGAAAGAAAAATATAATTTGAAAGAGTAAAGCCCAGAGGAAATTGGATAATAATGCAACATATTCAAGATACCCTGCATCTTGATCCAATTTGCTTAAGGTGTTTTCCTGGCTTAAAATGAAAAAAGTAATTGAGTTTGCAAAATGCCAATAGTACTGTTTTGTTTATAAAGCTGATTTATTTATATAAAAAGTATTAATGAAATATTTGCAACTCATAGATTGAAACCACTGTCTTAGAAACAGGAAAGTTTGTTTTTCAGAATTTATTGATACAGTTATGTATTATTTAAACATTTTCTTTTTTAAATTAAATTTCTGTTCATATATCAATAACTAATGAAAGATAACATGGTTGACTACAGAATCATAAAAATACTGCTAAATGTTCATATGAATGTATCAATGCTTGCAATCTCCATTTGAAATCCACAATATAGTTACAAGCTGATGAGGATGCCAAGAAGAAATTTAAAAATGCTTTTTATGTTTTTATTCTTTTATTACTACAGTGAACTGCCTAGGGTTATGCTATATAAGAGTGGCACTAAATAAATCTTTTAAATAAATTACACAAGTTAATTGATTTGAAAGTATTATTAACCCAACTTTCCCAAAGTCCAAGAAATGTTTCCTGCTTCTTACTTAAAGGTAATTTTTAACACCACATTAAAGTAAACTGCTCAAGAACAGCTACTCTTTAATATAAGCTTTTATTGTTTACTGGGTTATTAACCACAAAAGTATGTTTAAATTTGGCAATTGACAGACTAAATAAAGACCAGGATTAAAGTACTAGAATAGAGGTTCTTTCTTGTTTCAAACCTCAAAGCACAAGAAAGGCGAAGTCAGTTTGATGCCTTGAAGAGTGGCATGCACGAAACTGAGGCAGCAGATTGACTTTTTCCCTTCTTAAGCTTGTGTTATCCAAAGTGACCACACTTATGAAAATATGGCCAAAAATTCAAGGGATTTCCTATAGGAATCTTTTGAAGAAAAAGAAAGTAAGTTCCCAGTAGTCTGCAGATTGAAGTATACTACCCAAACTAGAACAATAACAAAAGCTTAATGACATCTAGCCAGGAAAAGCAGATAAAACTCCATTCATCTCCACTCCAGAAAATGAAGAGGTGATCTCTCAATGCTGTGGCACCTGAGAGGCCTATTGATCTACTCCTGGGCCATAATCTACTGAGATTCTGGATCTCTCATTCTCGCAACTGGTCATTAATTTGTTTCTGCTGCATTTAATGCATAGGTTTAGTAGCATTTAAGATAAATAATTTCAGTTTGTGTGCCTCAATTCCACTTCTTGCAATTATCTGAGCAAGAAAGCTTAACAATACAGTAGCTGTGAATCAATGATTTAATAGTGATTATCCTTCCATGGTTGCTATTGCTTCTAGCTTTTCTAAATCTGCTTGAGACACCAACTGGCAAGAAGCAGGACAAATAAGTTTTGGGAATAAGCTATTGAAGTGTTATGTTGAATTGTAAGTAAGATATAAAGCAGGGATGAGCTTTCAAACTGAATGGCCATGGTCTAATTCTCTTTCGCCCTGGTTTTTGCCAGCACCTGTGGCTGGTCAGGGCAAAGAAAAATTAGTTTACAGCCATTCACCCTGAAAGCACTTGACTGTTTCATTGATACCAGCTATGAAAGACTACACCAGTATATCATAAGCAAAGCAATTTCTCAGTTTGCCCTCATCCCATCACCACTGCCTTTTCTTGTTTTTTTTTTATTTATGTGTAACTGTCTTGCCAAGCAGTCTTCCTCAAGTTGCATTTGCTCCCACCTACTACTAATTGTGGTGCCTACAAGCAAGAGTTCAGGGATCTTCTTACTGTACACTTGTATTTCACACAGTCATCCCAGAAGCGACTGGCAGAAAATTTCCTCCTAATCACTACCGTCAGACCATGAACCACACACTGGCCAATACCCATGATGTTCCCTAAGAGACAGAAAGAGAAAGATGGTTAGCAGGATATGCTTGCCAGGATCCCCAGGGAACATTAGTAATGTTCCCCTTGGTAATACCCAATTTGCATCATAAAACATTCAGCCATAATGCCAGAGTACCTGCTGAGTGGTACAGTGGTAGGCAGTTATAGATTATGTCATCTGTGGTCACTCTGTAAGCATAATAACCAAAAGCAGCAATTCGGTAATATCTGCAATAAAAGGAAAAAATAGGTATCAATAGAGTTGCATTTAATTGGTACTAGATAACACAAAAGATTTATGAAAAATCTTCTAGGATCAAAGGATAGTTTTGGCTTGCAGAAAACCAGTGATACAAATACTGGCCTGCAGTACAACAGTGCTTAGAGTGGTCAGTTGGCACCTAGACTGCAATCCATGGATACATCTCGGGTACGATATACAGAAGAAACTACAGGTCCTCACTTCACAACAGTAACCAAGTCTGGAATTTATGTTGTTAAGTGATGATATCACGTGACTGCATCGCTTAAGCAGTGGCAATCTTGGGAGTTGTTTTGCCATCATAAGGATGATAGGCCATTAAGTGAGGAACTCATGTGACTAGGACTTGTGAATTCCTGCCGGTTTCCAACAAGCAGCCAATGAGGGAACAAAGTTGGAAACTGTAAACCTTGGTCACAACAACCCTTTCTTTAAGCAGCTCACAAACAGGCTAACAGGCAGGTGAATGTTACAGAGTGTTGCAGGATGGAGAAAAAGTTTTTCCTGCTGCAGCATCTGCTGCAAGGCCAGAGGGCAGGTAGCACAGTACAAGCGTGGCTGGGCAAGAGGCTATCTGTCCTCCCCACCTGGCTCACACTCCCTACTACCTAGGGGTTCCTCCTGGGAGAAAAAGCAATGGGAGCGGGAATGACTTGCGACCTTCCTTGCCAGTGAAATTTCCCAATGATTTTTGCCTGTGGGAAGTTGGCAGGGAAGGTCGCTAAATGAGTAATTGTTAACTGAGAACACCTATACACTCAATGACTCAATTACACAAAGACAATGGGAAGACAATTTTAGCTCTCAAGTCACCCAAACTGATGTTGCCAGATAGAGGGGAAAGGTTGGGGTGGGAAGGTTGTTTTTTGTTTTTTTAAAAAACCTCTTTTTCCACTCGTAAAGTTAGTTAAATCTTCTCTTTGTCCTTTTAACTCTTCATCTATGTACTCTGCTATTATTGTTCAATTGGCCCTTTATCTGTTTCTCTCTGGGTAAAGAAATACAGAGCCAAACCAGACCTTGTGAACCAAACAAACTCTAGCAAGCCTCTTTCCCAAGGAAGTTGCAGTTGTCTTTTTACAGGGCAACTGTATCCCATCCCGTCCCCCATCCCCGCCCCCGCATGAATTTTGTGTGTGTGTGTGTGTGTGTTGTAGGCCTTTGGAGAAATTTCAAGAGTGTTCATTATTATGACTCTCAAAGCAGACACACTATTTTTTTAAAGTTTGTGCGTGGGGGGGAAGGGGGAGCTGCAGCAGTAATGAATAGCAGAGAGGTGATGTGCTCATGCTTATGTGAGATTTGACATGTTCCTTTAAAATTATTTTTGAATATTGCTGAATTTATGATCCTTGCCATTTGTTCTATCCTCCTACAAACCTGTGAAAAAGCTAGACTAAGAAACATCTATACTTCCAATGAGTTATATAGTAGGGAGTTAGTAATAGTTATAATTACAATAACTAAGTGGGGATTTGAATCAGGGTCTCCTAGAAGCAATCTAATTCTCTAATTGCTACATTGTCTGATCACATTTGAAATCAGAGTTCTTGATTCATTTCCAAATATTAACTTCTTTCAAATCCTTTTGCTTAGGTATTAGTTCTTGCACACTCCATCAAGGGTATTTTCCTTACTCTCTACAGCAGTTTCTCAACCTTATCCACTTTAAGATGGGGGTGGACTTCAACTCCCAGAATTCCCCAGCCACCCATGCTGGTTGGGGAATTCTGGGAGTTGAGAAGTCCACCCATCTTAAAGTGGATAAGGTTGAGAAACACTGCTCTACAGAAACAAAATGGTAATAGGAGAAGTATCCATACCCCAAAGCCTCCTTCATTTGTCCACATAATAAAAAAAATTCCAGAAATAAAAATATTGAATATTGACAGGTAAAAACCAAGGGCAAGTACTGTTCCTCACCTACTGTGCACCACAATGGCAGCTTTTGGCATTCCAGTTGTTCCAGAGGTGTAAATATAGAACAGCCGATCTAGGAAAACAGCACAGTAGCAAGGCTGAGTTGAGTTTCTCTTTGTTATTTCTACTTGACAAGTTACCCATCTCAGGGAGACAGCTGCTTCAAATGCAGAGCGCAGAACCAAAACAAGGTTAGGAAATCTCCTTGAAAATAGTTCACAGCCCAGGTTGTCAGAACTTGTTTTGCTCACCTGAACCAAGTACACTGCCCTAAAGGTGATTATTTTATTTTTTTACCTCCACTTCTCTGTGGAACTAGGCCAGGACAACTAATAACATGAATCTAGAGGAAAGGTCACATTCACACAAAACCTCTCCCTGTACCACACCTCAACACCCTAGGCCCTTTTTTGTTTTCACCAGAAGGCGGCTGATTGCAAGGAGACATACCATCTAATCCCTTGGTTGAAACATGAGTTGGAGGAGATTTCGATGTCTGCGCCAGCAGAGGGTCCAAGTGCTTGGTATCTGGAGGGCAGGATTCAGGTCTAAAATCTCCAGAACAGAACTTAGTCATATTTTTCCCCAGGATGCCATTCACTTCAGAGATTGCTGCAACATAAAATCAGTCCTTTTTCTTAAAATTTTAAAATTAGAAGGTGCTCATTTCTCTAACTGTAAGAGAGAGAAAAAAATCAATAACAGCATTCAAATTATGACGACCGCTCGCAGATTACATCCTGTCTTGCAATATCTCACCACCATACCAAACACTACCATATCCTGAAAAAAATTGTCTTTTTCAAATTGGAGTATTCTTGCTACTCTTTTCCAGCGTGGATTCCAATTGTCTGTTTTCAGGGGGGGGGAAATTGCAACTATTTCTGTTTTTCTACATGGGATTAACATTGCAGTTCTTCATGTGGTTACTATTACAGGTAGTCCTCATGTTACAACAGTTTGCTTAGTGGCCATTCGAAGTGACAATGGCACTAAAAAAAGTGACTCATAACCATTTATCACACCATTGCAGCATCCCCATAGTCACGTGATTTACATTCGGATGCTTGACAATAGATTCACATTTACCGTGTTTCTCATATAATAAGGCCGGGTCTTATTTTTTTTTTTGAGCCCCGAAAAAATGGCTAGGCCGTCTTTTCGGGGGTGACTTATTTCCCCCCCCCCCCCCCCCGTGCATCTTTGGGTGGGCAGGTGGCGATGGCTTGGATGTTGACCTCAGCGTTGGTGGGGCACTTCGTATCGGGGTCAACGCAGGCAGCACCATATCCGGGTGTGCAACAAAAGTACTTCCTAATGGCAAGCCCCCCCCCCACCATTTCGCATGTTTTAATATAGGCCTTAATTTGGGGGGAGGGGCTTAATTTCATTTCATGCCTATAAAACATGCTGGGACTTCCTATTGGGGGAGGCCGTATTGTTGGAGAAACAGTGTCCCTGGGTCATGGGATCCCCTTTTGCAACCTTCTGACAAGCAAAGTCAATGGGGGAACCAGATTCGCTTAACCGTGTTACTAATTTAACAACTGCAGGGATTCACTTAACAAATGTGGCAAGAAAAGTCGTAAAAAGGGGGTAAGGCTCGCTAAACAAAATTCTCACTTAGCAACATAAATTTTGGGCTGTTGTGGTCATAAGTCAAGGACTACACGTATATAAGATTGCATAACTAAATGCTGTAGTTCTGTTTTAGTTACTATTCTTTCAAGCCATGCAGGGACACACATAACTGTCTAAAGTCCCATACTGGTCCATGTGGAAAGAGACTGTTTTGAGTGCTTTATATACTTACTAAATCCATTTACCCCAAAAAAGCATGCACTAATGTTAGGCAAGAAGACATACAGTCCATTGCAACCCAGAGGTTTACAGTCCAAATTTAACAGAGAGTGAATTTATGTATTGAATGCTTTGTGGGAGATGTCTCTGGAATCAAGATATACTTTATATTCAGAGACAAAATAAATTGTATTTTTCCCTTTTAGTTCCCATTCCTTTGCCACAATCAAATATATGGCCCTATTTTATAAGTAGTCCTTGTGATAATTGGGACTGGAAACAATTTTAAGTCGAAGTGCCCACATAACCAAAAGTTATTTTCCAGACTTTTTCATGGTGGTCATTAAGCAAAAGCCGGGTTGTTAAGCAAAGCCACTCACTTTAATGGGCACTTTTTGTCAGAAACTGAAAAAAAAATGCTGGAAACTGGTACACCATGACAGGTCATAAAGCCGACCCATATGACTAACGGGAGAAGCATGAACATTTACAAGAGCTGAGGATGCTTTACATTCAGTAGCTGTCATCACTTCAGTCATACAACAACTAATTGTAAATCAAAGACTACTTGTATTTTCTTTTTCCCTAACAATTTTTTTTCGCCCAGGGATTAATATGGCAATGACTTTATTTCCATGTTTGCTGCTTTTATTTCTCTGCTATGATAAATCTACTTCCCCTATCTTTTGTTAATTTTTAAACAAATAATAAATCTAATATAGCAAATCAAGAAGTCTGAATTTCCTTTCTTAAAATTTTGAAAACCCTTCTTGGAGAAAGAGAAGAGGCCTAACCTTGCTATGGAATCTCAGAATCTCATTTTATAAGCTAGGTTTTATAAAAGTATCCTCAAAGGTTTAGGTTAGCTGGCATATATTTCATTTTTAAAGGCAGATCTTTTACAGTATTTTTTTAAAAAACTGATTTTTTTTTGGCAATAATATATAACAAAGGGCACTTGGTATCTTCTCCCTATCTTCAAGGAATAAAAGGTATAGATCCATTTATAATAATAACATCACATATCTCATAATGAAAAACTTCCAACCAAATAAATATATTAATAATACAAAATATGCCTCTGTGCTGGGAGAGGCAGTCTAGTTTATTGGTTAAGATCTATTAATTTGGAGACACTGAGTTCTGGTCTTACCTTAAGCACAAATCCAGATGAGGGGACCTTGGACCAGCCAGTCAATATCATTCAGTCTTAGAAAGGGCAAACCACGTTTGAAATAATGCAAACAAAACTTGTCCAGGCAGTTGCCAGGATTCAAGACTGAATTGAAGGACATGGATACCCACACTTACCCACACCCCTCCCCTGTGCTGACTGGACTGTATTCTGGGAAGCAGAGTGAGAAACTGTTGTCCAAGATCTTAGCTTACAACAATCTGGTTTCTTCATAATGAGCATTATTCACATAAACAATGTAGAATTCCTCCCCTTTTTCTGTTATATCAGTGAGCATATGTCAGCATCGCTTGAAATTCATGATTAATTCCCCAATTCAATCCCAACGGTGGTTTTTTTTTTCATCTTTTCTTCTTTGAAAAAAGTTTGCTTCTCATCCAAGAATCTTCCTCAGTTCTAACTTGAGTTAGACCCATGGACTTGGATGACTGAGAATCTCCATAGCCATGCCCAATAATGACAAGTGCAAAGTGGTAATTCACTTTGGCAAACAGGCATTTTTCTAGAGAAATTAATTCTGTTCTCCTCACCAGACAGAGTTTCAAGGCAAGGATGAAAACAATGGAGGTTAGGAAATCAAACCCAAATCTACTTATATCATACCTGCTGATAGTTCCCCACCAAAGATGATGACTTTTGCCCCTGAGGTTTTCACACAGTAAGTCAATGAGTCAAGTCGCAAGTTGAAGTTGATGAGAGCTGCCTCAATACCCACTTTGGCCATCCCTAACCAGAAGCCTACAAACTCTGGTCGGCTCTCCATAAAGATAGCGATTACATCACCCTCACGAAAGCCCTGCTGGTAAAAGAAGTTGGCCACACAATTGGAATATTCATCCAGTTGCCGGAATGTCCATTTGTCATCAGTAGCTTCATAAATCAAGGCCACTTTGTCGGGATGTTTCCTGACCGTCTTCTGGAATAGCTTGGGAATATTACTTTTGGCTTTCCTGTGATGATACAGTTCATATTTGACCCGCAAAAGCACCGAGAGTCCTCTGAAAAAGGGCAAAAGAAGTATTAATTATTACAGTGCTTTTAATTGTTTGAGGCATAGATGCAATGCATGAGACATCTGCTTACTCTGATCCTCAGAATCTGGTTTTATATAATTAATACCTCTTATATTGTATCTGGCCTACAATCATATCCAGGCCAAAGCTATTACAATGGTGTATCCAGGCAATCCCCAAAAGAATACATTTTAGATGAAGTTGTAGAATTCTTGTTTTACTCTATTCAGAGTTTATTTTACTTCACCAGGGGAAAAAACGCTCAACAACCCATATAAACACTGATTTAGTCATGTATTACAATGCAGTTTAAAACAGATCGTGGCAATTCAAAGGACTGAAAACTTAGGGAAATCAAGATGCTCAGAATGTGATGCTAAACTCACATTCCTGAAATTAAATCAAGCTAATTTCTGAATGGATGGATTTGTTGCTGCATTTTGAAAATACTTCCTAATGAAGTCAGGCATTAAAAGAAGGCTAATTGCGATTTATGGTTTGAGCTTCTTCGGCAACGGACCGAAATCCGTGATCATGCGCGGTTTCGATCCGTGCTCGCCACTGGATCACCCCAAGCCAGCTGGATTCGAGGCTAAGCCATCCCATAGAGGTGGTGAAGAGGAGGGAGACCGCTAGCAGGGTCCAAGAGAGCCACATCTCTCCTTCTCAGCTGGCCATTACTCCCTTTCCCGAAGGCAGTTGCAGCGGTGGTCAGAAATGGCCACTTCAAAGAAGAATTCGACCAGAAAAGAATGTGCAGGAGGAAGATAAGAAGAGAAAGTTTTGGTTGACCGGGTTAAACTGAAAAAGCAACAACGTAAGGTACCCTGGAATTTGAACTATAAAAAATAACATTGTTCCCAAAGAAGACTTTGAAGCAGCGAAGGAGAGGGAAGGGAAAGGATTGGGCTTTTTTTTCTTCCCTTCCTTATACTGACAGTTAAGAGATTTAAGTAAGAAATTGAAAACAAAAACCAATTTGACATCAATAGGCATTTAGGCTGAAAATAAAATGTCAAAGGGATAATGAAGACTTTTGGATACTCAAAAACCTTTAAAAGCAGGAAAGGAGAGAAAAGGAAAGAATAAAAGGGCGGGATCTGGAAAAATGGATGAGACTGCCTGGAACTAAAAGGAACTTACAGTGAAACTTTAATAAGATTCCTAAAAGATACATTCTAACTGAAACTTTGTAACAAAATAATAGAACCCCAGGAAGAGAAAGTGGAAAAAAGAAGCAAGAAGATACAGCTTTGGATTATTTGGATTATTTGGTGATTTTTGGATTTTTGGCTATTGGATTTAAATGACTAAAATCAATCGGGTGGTTGTTTAAAAGTGTTTAAAATGCATCACTTTTAGAAGAACTGAAAATGGAACTTAAAAACAGAAAGAAGATGCACAAGAAGGAAGAGGTTCTTTTGGCTTCGTATTTCAATTTTTAGAAATGGAGATCTGGAACTATGAGAAACAACAAGAAACGCTTGTAGAACAAGAAGGTTGAGAAGAAGCCATCTTTAATAATCAAATAATTTTATGTGGGGAAAAAAAGGAAAGGGGGGAAAGAGAGTGAAAAGTTTAAGATTTGAAAAAAACAACCAAAAAAAAAGAATAGTTTGAAAAATAATTACAATATTAGGAAGCAACAGAAAAGAGGATCACAGAAGAGAGAATTAGAAGTAGAGAGACAAGGGGGCAAAAAGGGGA